ATTTAATTGTATAGTTGCTTGTAATGTAGATGGTGGCAAGAGAAGAGCTAGAGAGCAAGAAGATTTTTTGTTGCTCATTTTCCATTTGTTTTTTCTCATACCTCACTCCTCCGGGCCGAAACGTGCATTCTATGCGAAATTGGAATTAATTACCCGAATTTATTATGATGTTGTTCGCCTTGTTCATATTTGCTGTGCTGCTGTTATTCGTTTTGTATCATTGTCTCTCACTCTTGTGCGATTGAATGGAAAAGGGCTCAAGGAGGCAAAACCGAAAATGCTATTTTATGTCATCCTCGCCTGCAGACACCGTGTGTTTTTGATTATTCAACATATTTCCTGTATCTCGAAAGATCAATTATCGTTTTTTTTTTCTTTCGGCAAGAGTGAGCACCATAATAGATTGCCGAAATGCACGAGTGCGGCAGAGAGGGAGTGTGCGATTTGTGTATGCGAGAGAGCAACGTGTGCACATAACGATTTAGTTGATGCGAATACGATGAATGTAGTTGATGACGATAATGATTATTAGTATCAATATTAAATTGTTCACCAGGCCACCCAACAACACCGCCATATCTATCTCCAATCAATCTATCGCGCATCCATTGCTCTCAGTCACTAAACATTGGCTCTTGTCAGGCAACATTCCGTTTTGGAATCGTCAACTCGCACTCAATTTATGTGAGTAATCTTAACAGCGGATCGAATATTGCTACCACGTTTCGAAGATTTTTCTTTTTCTTCCTCTTAAACAACGTAAGGCGTACAGCTCTTCCGTTTAGCTCGTCAAATAAATTGGAATCGATTCACTTTCGACACTTTTTCCCTCCGATCGAGAGCGTGCAGAAAAAGTGTGAGGGTACAACGGCAACAGCCGCCAAGTCGTTAGTGTTAATATCAGTATGTTCTTTGTGTTTGACAACGTTTTTTTACACTCTCTCTCTCTCTTGCTCTCGCTGTTTTTGTCTTGGATTCATTTGCACGTACATTGCGTCTTCATTCTGTTCATTGTACATGTATCTAGCGCCTACACATTTACCAAAAAACACATTTAATAGACTGTACGTTTAACCCTTTATCACATTTCGGTTCCTAAAGTAACCAGATACGCCAGACGCTATAGCTATGAAACCACTGAATATTTTTACATTCTTGTTTGAAAACAAATGTAGGGAAATGAACTAGCTTTCATTTGATGTTTTACAGGCTACAATCGGCTGGCTGAATGGAAAGTTTTTTCTGTTCATGTACTGCTGTAAAAAAAAATGCAAAATTATAGCAGAATTCCACATTTTTCCTCCTCTTATCTTGTGGGTTTGTTCATTCTTTTCAATTGTCTGCATCATTCGGTTTATAAAATTTAAGTTTTTCAAGCTTTTATAGTGATTTGACACTTTTGACTCTTTTCCGATTTTCTCGACAAATACGCAATTTTTCACAAATCTAAGTATGAGGTCTTTCTCTATTTATCGTGGCACAAAACATATATCAAAATGATTCAAAAACAAAAAATTTTGCATCAAAGGGTTAATATTTAGGTAAGGCAAAATCAAATGCCAAATCTTCATTGTATCCTCTTATATCGTAATCGGCATTCTCCACCTCATCAGTAGTTTCTTGTGCTTGAAACATTTACAAAATGAAGAAAAAAAAATGGTGGAAGAAGAAGCGATAAATAAAGCCAGGCCGAATACACGTGGAAAGCTTCTAAGGAGCTTACAAAGATTACGAATTAAGTATGCATGAAGCAATGAGAAAAAAAAATAACTTTGATTCATTGAATACACTTCATTGTGCTCATTGAATGTGTTGAATGTTAAACGCGATATTATCGCCATTGTAATGGATGAGAAATGGAAAATCAACCATATTGATACGAGGCATTATACACACGCATACACACACAAATACGTGCAAACCTTAAAATTTTCACATCGATTATTATTTAACGTACTTGTGTACATTAAATTGTTCAAAATCGTCTTACATATGTATTATTCATTACGGTAGGCTGTCTTCAATCCAATGCAAAGCCATTCAATTCCACTTGTTATGCCACAAGATACAAATTCGGTTGCTTGGATTTTTCGTCAATCAACGACAACGATGTACACAATTGCCTATTTTATGTGTGTATAATTGAAACATCAGAAACACAATGACTCTGACGACTCTGACGACTCTGACGACTCGCCAACTCTTGCTTCGGGCGGTGAATGTGTTCGATTTTTGACTTTTGAACGCGAACATTGCCTGGCAAAAAGACAGAAAAACTTTCGTTGACGGTGGAACCATCGCAAAATACAAGAATAGCACAAGTGTGGCGTATGTTGAAGTTGATTTCCATTAGCAAATTGAAATACTTGAAGCTCTCTTCTCGCAATAACGAGTGAAACAAAAAGTTCCGTTTACCTTGTTTTGCGTTTTATTCTCTTCGGAGGGAATTCATCCGTTTTTCTTCTCCTTCTTTTGGAATTCAATGGGAAATTGTTTCCATAGTATCAATTCACATTTGAGCATGCTTTAAGTGTATCGATGTTGGAAGTACCATTCACTCTCATTTGATGCGAACAATATGGAACAGAAAAAACCGCACCAAAATCAAGCGGAGGCTTTCATATTTCGATGTTTTTGATTGGTTTTTGTTCTGGAGGCGAAATAAATATGTTGACGTTGCACAGCTATAATCCAGACCAATTGAAATGTTCACGTTTCCATTCATTGGTATCAATCTAAATGAGATCAATTTTGATTCATTCGCTTCTTTTGCCAATTAGATACAACTCTGATGCTAACAAAAGTAATTAAGTTCGATTTAAAAACATCTGAAACATTCATTACAAGAACATCGTACGCCGATCGACTTGTGATCGAATCAAGTTCAATATATAGAATAGCAAAATATGGAACACAAAATGAGAGAATTAACTTCATCAAGCTAACAAAAAAATGGCTTTTTCTTCCCTGTCCTTTAACCTACAGTCTCGTATAATCGAAGCCGGAAAAAAAATTTCTTTCCCACTTTTTTCTTTATTTACTTCGTCGTAGTCATGTCTTCTTGCGAAACAATGTATTAAAAGAATTCAATAAGAATGGCGCAATGGTTGGCGTTGCTAAACGTTGCTCCTTCTTGAACCTTTTGATCCCTCATAAAAAATTGTTTAGAGCCCAATCCGGATTTCAGTGAATGGTGAGTTTCGGGTATACATATAATATTCAATGGCCGCAAGGCAATAACGGCACGGATGAATTTTATTTGCATGTCATAAAATCAAATCAAATCACATTTCAACAAAAGACCCATTCGTTTTGTGTTCTGGACGTCAGCAAAATCCATAACTAGCTCTTAGACACTCTCATGAAATATGTATGTTTTTCTCCTCATCCTTCGGTGTGCAGTATTCCATTTCCGTTTGCATGTTCCGAAAACACACAAAGAAAGGAAAAAAGTGAGCTAGAGTGATAGGCAAAACTATGTTGGACATGTGAATTCAATTGGCTTTTGCAGCTGTTTCACGGTCCATTTTTCCTCACTTTACGACCGATTCATAATAGGATTTGATTTGAGACTTGGAGTTATTATCGGCCAGTGTCAGAAAATAAAATCCCATACACTACTACTTTGGGTAAGTAGCTTTCGACGAAGAAACAAAAAATGAGTCCAAATCCAATTTTTACATATTTGCAACTTGATTTGGTATTTTGCGCCGAATATTTCGTTTTTTTTCCATGGCAAACAATCAAACCGAATTTTGATTTCTTTGGAGAAAAACAAAAAGAAAATTGTACTCAGTTTGCATTTAAATATGTGTGTGTGTTTGTGGTTCGTGAAATCGGACGGGGAAATCGAACAACAAATTGCGTTATTATTTTGATAATGTGTTTGTGTGCGATGGCAAAAAGTTTCCTCCCAAGTATTGAAATGCTCCCGAGTAAAAATGCCAAGAAAACTTCGAGCAATTTATATTGGGGATGTGTATTGAGAGTCTGTCAATTGGAGAGTGGGAGTGGGAATTTGCTTCTGCAAAGCCACAAAGAATAAATAAAAACGATGAAAATATTTGCGATAGGAAACAGAGAGCAGAAGAAGAAGAAAATAAGTATTTAAATCAATAAGAAAAATGTTTCAAGTGCTGGGCAAGAAGGAAGAGAAAAAAACATGAATATATATTTCTCCAGCATTTGTTCTGTTTCCTTATCGCATTTCCCAGTTGCGTTGTCGTTTTTTCTGAATTTCTATGTCTTACATTATTCGCTTGTGCGGAACATTTCTTTTTCCTTTTTTCCCGCCATTCTTCCCATACGTATACCGTTATTGAACCGTATGCGGATTCTTTTCCCTCCGTTATTGGTCTTCTCTTTTTATTCTTAGCATTGAATTTGAATTTTATTTGCTTCGGAATATAAATGGTTTGTATCGGTGTCACAATCCACATAAAATACTTTCTTTCACTTTTCAACGGTCGCACTTTTCCACTTTTTTTTCAGTCGCTCTCTTCCTCTCACCCTGCCAACAACGTACCGATGATGTAATAATGCGAAAATGTGTGAAAAGAAAATACTTATTGTTTGGCACTGAACGAAATTCCACGCGAGCGCAAAACTCTGACGCCAACAACAGCTAAGACTTTGAAAGTCGTTTGAAAATTTATTAAAAAAATTTTTTTGTTCGTTCGCCTTCATGACTTTTCAACATCCAGCGAAGTGTGAACGGTAAAAAAGAAGAATGCATGAGTTTCTCTAACGGCGAGAGGGATAAAGAAAACAAAGAAACAAAAAAGTTCGCAGCAAAATCGTTTTCAATATTCAGAGTGGTGTAATAATTCCACTCATCGAATTTATTATATCAAACACAAAAAAAAGTGAAATTGAAGTTTTTTCATTCTCGGTACAGCGGGAAAAAGTATGGTTAAGCTTAAAGTGTATGTATAAATTTGGTTAATTTGGTTTGATTAATGAGCCATAAACAAGAACTCGATAGATGCACGTGTAATTAAGAGCCCGGTTTTCATTCGGTGCAAATTCAAATTTTACAATTGGAAAACTTTTATCGGTGGAATTGGCTGGCAGTTGAAATCCTTGCAGCGATTGGTATTTCTCAATGTCATAGCGATAGGTACCAAGATGCGTATCATTCGGTTCGTCTTCGTTTTCCATGCCGTAAACACTGAATACGCTTGGAGCGTTCAAAATGAATCCGTCGGGTGACATTTGTGGTAGAATGTGCTCAATTCCGACCGCATCGATGAACACATTTCTTATCAGTTTTATGATTATTTCGCCTGGGCCGGTGAAAGCAAAACATTCGCCAGGATGAATTGATGGTTGTATAACGCGATGAGCACCGTTTACAAAATATTTGCTGATACTATGGAATCCATAGATGCTGGACAACCATTGCGGAAATGGTGTCAACACTTTAGTTTTACCGACCGACAAAATCTGTGCACCAGCCGTTTGTAGCGCAAAATCAGGCCGACCACTGTGTCCCACTGTCTTATCGGGACTGATTTTTCGTTTGATTTCCTTCAGTTCGGTGATTAGTTTATCAACTGCGCCCATTGACGATGAATGCATCAGTTGTTGTTTGCGCACTTGTAACCGTAGTATTGCGTCTTCGGCCAAATGGCTTTTCTTGCCCGAATCCGATACGCGCGACAATTCATCCACGAACAAACGATGCTGGTATTCGACCATGTGAAGGCGATGCTTTGTTTCGTATTGCGCTAACGAGATTGTTATAAGAAGCCCCAGCAAAACGATGGACACACTCAATAGTGCCACTCTGGTCCAAAACCGATGCGGCACTAGCAATTGCTGATAAATTCCCATTTTATTCTTTTCTCTGGATAACTTTATTCGTGAAGATAAAATAAACCCGACCCAATGTTTGAACTGCTTACTTACGATTTAGTGTCAAATATGGAAGTATTTTTCATCGTTTACTGCGCTTCAAATGTCTCACATTCATTTTTATTGTCAACATTTTAGTTGCGACTTAGCAATGCTATTTGTGTGTGTGCTGTGTTTTTTTTTCTTGTCGGTTTACTGCCTGAGATTGAAACAGATAATTAGCCAGAATAGTTGTGTCGAAAATAGTCTTGAATGAATAACACAACAGCCATTGGAATAAATACGATTTCCATGAGAATTGCTAATGGGTGGATTTGGTCACAGCAACCATTTGCCAAATAGCCGAAAGCGACTATTGTTTTTATAGTGTTATCATCGAGTGAGCCTTGGATTTGGCTGACCTTCGTTTCGAATCGTCACACAATCGCACACACACACATTGTGTGCTCCTATGAAGTTTTGTGCTGGCGTAAGCTCGAAAATGGAACCGAATTAACAAAATCATCCACAAGAACATGTATATGTGTGTTGTTTGTTGGATTTGTGTGACATTTTACATTAGGGTGATGAAGCTTCTCTAATCAATAGAAATAACAGTAACAATCATAATAGCAAATTTTTCGCTCGTTGAAATATAACCACATTCCGTTTCTATTTACGCAATTTGATTCGCTTTCGTTCTCTGAAAGAGGGAGAGAGAGAGAGAGAGAGAGAGAGAGAGAGAGAGAGAGAGAGAGAGAGAGGGAGAGTCTCTGCGTCTTTCGTCCTCTTAAATTCGCCCAGCGAATTTCGTAATCGAAGTTTCAAACGATGAGCGCACGCACAAATAATCATTTCCAAATAAATAAATGAATAGTCCAATGGATTCGAATCTGTATTTTATTACAATCAATTTTTATGGATGTTGTTAAGTTCTCTTTCGAATTTATTCGGGAAAATGGGAATTTCGTTTGTTTGCTGTGCGTATGTGTATTGGCCTTATTAAGCAAAAGCAGCTCTCATCGCATATTTACGTGATTGTATCGTTATGATTGCTTTATGAAAAGGATTTAATCTCTCTTTCATGACGAAAAGGATTTAATCTCTCTTTCATGACTTTGCCCTTCCGCACGAAAAAAAAATTGCGTATATGTATGTGTGTCCATGTCCGTGTTCGATTATTATAGAATCAAACAAAACCATCATAATGAATACTTTGCGAAATGAGACATAGAATCAAGATAACCGATGAAAGGGAATTATTGGCTCTAGTTGGATGGCTAAAGTTTTACGATCCTACTTTCTCGCTCGCACTCGCATTCCATCAATGCAGTGCTTTTGCAGCAATCATCGCGATTCGTTTGTTAGATAATGCTATGCCATTTAGAATGCTTGCTTGCGCTCGCTCTCTTTCTAAGTTTGTGCTGTTTATGATTTCCTAAGCGCACACTTCGTCAATGGATTCGAGTCGACAAACACACAAACACACACAACGAAAACTGTGCATGGAAAGAGAAATGAAGACATTTTCGCATTCTTAGCGGATTAAGAATTATATTGCTTGGCATTTTATGAGCGAATATTGGATGGTTAGCAGAGCTCCTTTAAACATTGTCGCTTTGAATTAGCCGTATCAAAACACACCACTCTCTCTCTCTCTCTCTCTCTCACACACACACACATACAAACAAGCATTCACTGGTCATGGCCATTGCCTCGCATAAAACAGCATTATTTATTCACCCATTTTTCCCCCGCTCATTCGTCCCAACCACCACCACTTCCTCCATTTTATTACGTTCCCAACTAAATTGTTTTTGTTTGCTACTTTTCCTCACAGGAGCAAAACCGTACATTAGATTCGGTAACAAACAGCATTCTTTTCGTTTGGCATCGCTTCTGGTTCTGTTTACGTAAGAATGGAAAACAATGTGGAGATTCTTTAGCAATGGAAATTCACTCAGACGTTCTCTCTTGCGCGCGCTCTCCATCTCCATCTCCATCTCGCATTGCAATGAACGCGTCAAAAGCAGAAATTTGTGAAACATTGCGCGTCGCAACACCAAAATATTGCTGCTATTTAATTTATATTTGGCAAGCACACAAACACTATTTGAACACTGTGTGACACATTTACATTCGGTGCCAAGTCTCTCGCGAGTACAAACGCGAACCTCGAACGGAACAAAATAGCGAAAATGCCACATATCCACTCGCACTGGGCAAATAGACATTGCCACCGAAGTGATGGTTACATTTTTACCTCTCGCACTAGCTCGCTCGCTGGCTCGCCCAATTCAAATAAAAACAAAATACACTTCGCTATCATGAAATGTAAACGAGAACAGAAAAAAAAACATATTATCTCGCAAGACGTGTAAATGTAGCAAAGTGTCGGGTAAATTGCGTTTACGTCACGAACAATGAAAATGCTTGTCGCCTTTTAAAAGACCCCATGTCTCTCTCTCTCTCTCTCTCTCTCTCTCATTCTCGACATGATTTTTTTTCTCACTTCTTCTTCTTCTTCTCGCACAGAGCCACAGCAAATGTTCTCGAATTGTTTATCCCTTTTCGCTTCTCACACACTGCATGTTTGTATGGATGTGGTTTTGTTGCCTTCAGATGACACATTTTCATGTGGTATTTGATATAATACCCATTCATTAAGTGGTTTTTCCGCACTTGTGTTGAGACAATTAGGGTTTTCGTTACGAAACATATTCCGCAACATTAAGGACGACCAGCAATGGTCGACAAACGAAGAGCATTAACGGACACTTTTGGAAATGTTCTTTTTGTTATTTGAAACAGTGAAAACGAATGCGTGTAAATAGACAGTGACTGTAGCTAGTTTGGGCAAATTTCCGGCAAACAAAGCCTAATCACCGAATTTGAAATTCCATCAATTTCGACCAAATCAATTGGATCGTTTCCAAATGAATTGCCTAAATGAAAATCCTGCAGAAATTAAACAAAATTTGACCATCTAAAATGGATGGGCTTAGTGAAGCTCCCTCCATTAATGCCAAATCAATCGTTTACCATTTTAATTAAAATCTCATTGATGCGAACAGTTTACCCAAAATGGTATTTATTTTATACAAATTTTAATTTGCAGTTGTGGTTTGTTTGTTTTTTTTTTCTCATTTGTTGATGATGATCCTTAACAAAAGCCCGAATCGAAATTGATTTCGCTCAATTCCGTTTGTATTACAGCTGAAAAACTCGAAATGGCTTAATGTTATTTGAGTGCCGGCAAACAAAATACATACTATCAATTTAGATTTAACGAATTCAATGGAAATCGATCGGGAGGAAATGAAGAGCGAAAAAAAAAAATTGCGATGCACTTTATATATTGGCCATTGGAGTATTGCCTACACTGTGTAAACTATTTAAATTGACAAATGAAACGGAACATGGCTTGCACACGCTCTTGAAATTACTAATTCACTATATTTTGAATAATTAAATGCATTTCATTACACAGCGAAGAGACCGATTGTGGGATACAAAAAACAAACACCATCGCGTGCACACGCCACGAACAATACGATTGGTTAATGTCAATTCAATTAACCAAATGCAATTTAAAATGCAAATAAATGTTTAAAGAACGGACTTCGTTCGGTCGCATTCCCTTGCATGATTCTGATTCGATCGTGTCAATGTTTTCCTATTTGATCAGGTATACATTTTATCCAAAAATCGTGTTGGCACTGTGGTTGCCTTTCTCCAAAAAAAAACCAACAATGTTATTATAAGCTTAACATCTGAAAATTGGTTTTCACACAATAGGAAATATTTCGATATTTTGCAAAGAATGGACTGAATGTTGGCTTTTGCTCAAAATGAATTTCACTTGTGAAATACGAATGGCTGTAGCGAATGCTTTGTAAATGGTGAAATGTGCTCACGTACCATTTGAAACCAATCTTTTTGCTTCTTTTTATTTTTCTCTTCTCTTCTCATTTTCCTCTCGCTTATTCTCTCACACACTCACTCTGTGCAAACTCATTTAATTGTTTGAGTCAATGCAACGGACAATCTCGCTCATTGAATTCCCTCAACTTTGGCAACGATTTCGCGTTGATGCTTCAAAGAAATAAAAATAAAACGGGAGGAAAAAAATTCCCCGAGCTTTTCTGTGATGTGTTCAAAGTTTTAAGCGCGTATTTACTTTGACTGACAATAAAAGTGAGCTCTCGCCGAAGACTACAAAGTCAAAGTCGTTCGAATTTGATTCGATCAATTAAATTTTTAATCAAATAACAATTAAAATGTAGAACGGTCGTAATGACTGTTGTACGTGCGCGCATTCGGACCCGATATGTTCGCGCGAGCAAAGATTCCACATCTTGGGGAAATTCACTTAATTAGAAACCGTTTTGCTTTCATTTGATGGAATGATATGCTTTTTGTATGTGCTGAAGATAAGACGAATCGTCAACAAAGGCAAAATTACAGATAGACATGATGCCATCACATTAGAAGTGTGCCAATCGACACAACGAAAAGGCTAAAGTTCTCAAATTGTCTGAGTGAAGACTCAAAGTAAGAAGGAAAAGTCGTTCGCTTTCAACCAATCGACTTTTCGACGAATTCTAACGGCAGTGGACTTTATTTCGCATCTAACTTGAAAGTAAAATTACTGTTCCGCTTCTAGGATTGCACGCCTTTAATTAGTTTAAAATGCCAATGAACATGCAGTTGTGTGTGGGCGCGGGGCTGATGAAAAGCGATTAAGGAACTTGGTTTATCTGGAAAGCATTCTACCAAGAATAAAACCATGGTGGGAACAAAATGAATTGTATTTACATGATATCAAGATCATTTTTTCCATTCAATTAGATAAGTTATATAATCTAAATGTGTCATTGTACAGACGGAATCTGCACAATATGTTGACTCTCAAAAATTGAATTGATGGCAACATTATTGAGAAGCTAGCTCCTGGAAAAATCGTTCAATTCGGTTTTTTCGAACGAAATTCTTGGCGATTCGATGGAAATTGCGTCTTTGTTTTTCACTATGAAATGAACGAAACGCAATTTACATAAAATATGTGAACGTTGCATTGTGAGAGACACACGATTACGACCCCACGCGACCGACAGCTTGCGATTTAATGTACATCCGATGCTTAAAATTGAGTTTGAAACTTTTTGTTTGCCAAGTAAATGTGCGATCCACATTGTGGATATACAGTTTTGGTTTGCTCTTCAATCACCTTGTGCTTAATAAAAAAAACGAAATTCTGACATAATTCCCAATCTCAAGTTCGTATTCTCGTCTCACCCTTGCTCTTCGCAACGCCTCCACATCCACCATTATTATTATCGCTCCGAATGGCAGACAGAGGCTATAATGTATAGTATGTGTGAAAAGTATACCTTTGCATCGTTTGCCGTCTGAGCAAATAAAATATTATTATGTAATTCCGTTTTGCTTTTCATTTCTCTCTCTCTCTCTCTCTTGCTCTCTCTGGCGTGTCTTTGAAACGGGCAAACATACCCCGCCATTAAAAGGAATTTATCACCAAAGCGAATTTATTATGTCTGCAATGAAAAATGTTACATTCGGTTGCCATTTTCCATTTCCATTTCGAATTTCTAACTTATAAAGTGTATGCATTACATAGATATTATGAGAAATGGAATTCGTTCAGCTATTTCATTTTGCAATCCCTCACCTCCCTCTCCCTCCTTTTTTTTCTAGCGCACAAATGTGCAGAGATCATAAAATGCTGTGTCTCAAAAGTCGTGACAGACGTTTTGCTGATTGTCTTCGCGATGTTACTGGCGTACGTTGCATCGTAAATGCTCGGCGAAGTAACGATGTTCCATGTTCTTCATGTGTATGTGTGGCTGTGTGTGCACCAGTAAATACGATTATTGCGGCAAATAGCCGTAAGTTTTTGATTCTCAATTCTACATCATTCGAATGGTAGCAAAACTAAAAGAATGGCAATAAAATTTTATGCGGTTATCGATTCCAATAACTATTTTAATCTTATGCTGCCTGATTACAAATCGCTTTCGAATCTTTTTCTCGTTGTTTGCCAACTTTTCAATCGATTCGATGTTTGGATTCGTTTGGAAATAAGAAGAAAGAAAAATGCACAAGAAATGCGTTCTTGATGTACCTGAAAGCGTCAAACTTGACGGTGTTTAAGTGATTTTTAATGTAGAATAATGTGAAATGTAGAAACGGTGTTACTTTCAGGTGGTTTTAATACCCGCGTGTGTGGAGGTAAATTTCGGTAGCAAACTTGATGGTTGAACCATCAAAAAAGTCATATAGAAAAATGATTTACTTTAATAATAAAGTGTTAAAAATTTCCCGTGCTCACATCATAAAAATGTACGTGATTTCAAGGCTTTACGCTTGGCAACATCTCGAACGAGTTTAGCGCATTTTATTTACAAGTCGGTCGTAAAATGACCACAATTTTTTCCAGGTGATGCTTAATTAAGGGCGGAATTCGGGAAAATTCATTTAGTTTTGATGTGATCGGTGTATTTAGAATACTAGATTCTAGAATTCTATATGTCCTTGTGTACTGAGCATGGATTTTTTTTACAAAAAAGTTGCTTTTTGACTGACTTTCAGCAGAGATCAGCATGGGGAGGGTAGTTTTGTGGATTTTGAATGGCTGATGAAAAGCCAAAACAAACTTCCAGCAGCAAAAATATCCAATGACAATAGACCATTGTTATAACGAAAATGTATTCAAATACGAAATATTTCAAACATCGCAAATGTTTGTTCGGCTTTTTGAACAATTTTTTACCTCGCGCAAAAAGAGTAAACATCACATTTTTGTTCAACATTCCACATTGACAATGACTTGCGGACTGCGCAAATGCATTAATCATGTAATTATTTTCAATATACCTTTTCACTAGCCCTTTCATGTATGAACAAAACGATAGAGAAACAAAAACTCGTTTTCACAAATAATCCAAATAATTTGTGAATAGCATTCCAATTCAGAACCACATTTCCATGGCAATAATTTTGATGAGGAAAATTTGCAAGCGAAAACAAAAAAAATCAGTCGCATTTACACAGCTAAATAATCTAGGTATATTCCCAACACTGTCGCACATTTTATATATAAATTGCTGCGGTGCAACAATAAACAGAAAACCTTTTTTTTTGCTGCTGCAATATTAACAAAAGCGTAATGTTCGCATTTGGTTTTGGTGGTCGGGTCATTATTCGATGTCAGCGTGCATTTTATTGACATTTTGAAATTGAAATGAAGATTCATCGACTGTGCCATTTATATCAAATGAATAATCTAAATGGATTCTAAATGTGAAGCTGAACGTTCACGTATTTTGATTCAATGGGATATTGAATCGTAATGGAAAAATGAAAATTGACACGGTACATTTTGGCTAAACAGAAACAATATCGATGGTTGAACCGCGCGGTGTGCAATTCATATAAAAAATTCAAAATCATAAAAATGCGATTGCAATGCTCGTGTTGAAGCGCATCAGTGCAAAGCAAAATGGGTTTTCTTGGTTTTATCTCACCGAGTAAACATGATTAAATGATATCTAAACATCATTGACATTTACTTTTGGATACATCAATTCGATTTGCTACTCCGTCGAATGTTGTACATGTCTCGATGCGGAACATGCGATCATCCATTTTCAAAGAAGCATCATCCATTTAAAAAGAAACAGACAAGTCAATGGTTGAAATGAACAATGAACAAGCACATCTGACTTGTCCATTTACCGTAGTCAATTTTGAAATGAGCTTTTTTCGTTTGACGCAAACATCGGGTATTTATGTTTCGATTGGTGGAAAAATGCTTGAAAATATTTCGATTGGAAAATTCCGCTTGGATTTGCTGCAGCATTTTTTTTAAATGTTCGTTCATCAGATAATTCGTGGAGCATAAAGTTCGTTTTTTGGGGGTTTTGGAAAATGAATTGCACGGCCAATGCGTGCTAATTACGGGATGTTCGTTGAACATTGAGTAAATAATGTGCGTGTAAGTGCATGCAAACGTACAAATGAATTATAGCATGAAATTAGCAGAAAACCAGTAGTTTGCAACTTGTTGTCGGGCAATGTACGTACACTACACACACATACCGTTGTATACCACCAATCACAGCTACATGCATACTACATATATACGGTTTGTTAAAGCTTAATTAAATTGACGTGGGAATGGTGAAAATGTTTTTCTCCATACTTTTCCTCTCTCTCGTTCATTCGCTCAGATTCTCCGATCAGTGTAAAATTCGATATTTTTTCTTGCCAATCCGATTTTCCTCCCAATTATAAGATCGAATGGTGTTCAATTCATTTTTATGTCATGAATTTTTTAACATTTGAAACGTGAAGTAAACCTCTGATTTCTGTTATTGAACGAATTGTTTTCAGTGTTTTTTTTTTTCTCGCTTGTTCATAAATTAATAAATCGCTGCTGGATTTATCATTAATATACATTGAATAATGACCCATTAAGCTATGCAGTAGATGAGCGAGCCAACGAACGAACGAGTTTCGCAGGAACACAAAAAAATTAAATGGTAATGCAAATTAATAACTGTGCGTGATTGAGATGCGGACTTTGCATTTGGAAAAAGTAATTTGCCACTCGGCAACTGGTTTGGTTGACCAGCACCAAATTACCTTCATCTATTAAATGCTACATAATAATCAATAATGGGCCGTTTAAACTCAAAAATGAAAATGCATTAATCGTAGGTGCGTCTGTTTTCAGAGAAAAAAAAACCGTGTACGCCACATTTACCAAATCGACTACCGTTTTCAATTTGGATGTGTATTTGTATGCTCCCTAAAAGTGTTCGAATCATTTCGGCAGCAGCACTTTTGCATTGGAATGCTTTTCTTGTGTATCAAAAATATGCATGTTAAACTGGACATGCAGAGAATTTAAACGCTACAAAAGCACAGATAAAGAGCTTAAATAAGAATTGACTTACCGTAGTGGGTAGATTGAGTTCATGTGTTTCGTTGCCACGCCAAACGGTTGATTCCGATGGTAGTGGTGTTTGCATGTCACATTCAGTTTCAAAGTAGAAGCCTTCAAAGCCACGCCGACCGAATGGCTTCTGTTTGAGGCCAAAGTTCATGGCACGTGATTTAGTTTGCATAGTTGAAGTTGATAGAGGCGCAACTGTTGCAGTAGAAGTGGCTGCTGCTGCTGTTTCTGTTTCAACTGGACTTTGTGTAATCGACTTTATCGAATTTAGTGATGACGAATGTTTGTCTGGATTGCTCTCAGTTGAGCTAATTGTATCAATCAAAGCCGGAGTAGCAGCAGATGGTTCTTTTGATGTGGTCTGATTTTGTTTGACCACCACATCGGATGGATGTACTTCCACCGGCAATGTAGTAGTAGTCGATGATGCAATCGGGCTTGGTGTTGGTGTTACTGTTGGTGACTGTTGGTTGGCATCCGTGTAATTAGTTTTAATGGATTCGGATGGTTTTTGACTGATCGGATCATCGTGAATAATGTACAAGTGCATGTTTGTTGATGGTTTGGCTGTAGCAGCATCCGTGCCATTCATTTTATCTGCACTTGTGTTTGTATTGAGGTGACTCTCTTTGATGATTTGCTCACGGTCTCTCTGCATTCGCTCCAATTCAGTTTTATCGATTGTACCATTGCTGCCACTGTTAACATTAATGAAGAGAATTTTCCGTTCGGCTGGATTCATTGGCTCTAGTGTCGATAAAATTTGATTTTCTTTTTTCGCTGTATCGCTTCCATGAGCACCAGAACTGCTCTCTGCACCTCCGTTCGACTCGTGCTCAATGAGGTCATCAGCTTTATTATTTTTACCAGCCGTTTGACTTTTTGATGAGTTTGCATTATTGTTGGTTTGCTTGTTTGCAATGCTTTTATTTGGATTTACCGTTGTTTCGCTGCTTGTTCCGTCTTTGCCGTGATAAAACTTGGCATTTGGAATGTCAGCATCCAATTTCCGTTCTTCGTCCGATTGTGAGATAATGTTTTCGTCGATGGATTTTGTGATTGCCGGCTCTGGTAGGCTGCTCGCTCTGTTCTTGTTTCCGTCATACGGCATGAACCGTTTTCGAAATGTCGGATCGAACTTTTTCACCCTGCGCTCAATATATCCCATCGGGTTTATCGGATGGTTAATTGTAATAGGTTGTTGCTGCTGCTGCTGCTGTTGCTGCGGCAACGGCAGCGGCTGTTGTATGTTTGTCATACTTGATTCCCGAAAGCTTTGCTCGATTTTACTGACCATATCGTCCTTCAATTGTAATTCCGATGTAAAATCGGTGACTTTGTCGTTATTCGGGCCATTTGCACGCTCAACTGGGCCCACGTAATCGTCATCATCGCCTGGGCCAATGATTTTTACATCGTCCTTTGATGCGCTCATGCCCGGCTCATCAATTAGTTCAATTTCGATTTTTGTTGTTGGAATGTTGTTTTCGATTGAATTAAATGCTCCATTGACTTTGGTGTGCTGCTGCTGCTGCTGCTCTTGCTTTTGGTGGTCGACATTTGCATCACCTTCGTTTCCGAATTGGATTGAATTTTCCTGCTCATTTCCATCGTCGATTATATTGAATCGAGCGTCTGAAATTATCGGCTGATCGCCGCCGCCACTTTTTTCGATGCCAACGAAGCGATTTTTTTCCTCAATTAGTTTTTCATTCGATTCACGAATAATTGAGCTGAAATCTTCCAATTTCGATGGATACAAGTCAGCGATGTTAATTTGTCCACTTGGATGTGACGATGCAAATGATGGCAAATGCACGGCATCGTCGTCTTTTTCATTGAGTTTTTGTTTCTCGTCAAACACTCGTTTTGCATCCGTATTTGCTTGGCCATTGTTGAATTCGTCGGTGATGATTTCAGCGATTTTGATTCGGTACAAACCGTTCTCCAATTTTTGTTCGACGTGCATGCCATTTGAGCTAATTGACAATTGCTTGTGTTCGTTATTATTTCTAACGGATGACTGCTCGCCGTTTTGTGTCAATTTTACCGGAGCCATTGTTGTTGTCCATTGCAAATGTGCACCGGGTATGGCATCGTCGTTGTCGTCGACGGCATTGCTTCTGGGAACGTTTGCTGAACTTTTTTCGTTTGCATCGATTCGGGTGGCAACGGTTGACGCAACGTTCTCTTGTTTGTTTTCAGCATGTTCCGTTGATTTTGGCGTCAGTGTGTCTGCTACTGCTGGCAATGGTGCCGCAAAAACTTTTGTCCGTTCATTTGAAACTTTATCGTTTCGATCCGGATCACTTTCCAATGTTAAAATTGGCAACGAAGACGCCACTGCTTGTTGAACATTGATTTTACTCGCGGCACCGACTTTTTCATTCAATGGTATGGGCTTTTCCGTGGCTGGTGTTGCAATTTCAACCGTAAACGAGCGAATGCCAAAACTTATAGTTTCATCATTGTTCTCTTTATCGACGTCAGCTTCTTCACTACGAAATGTAATGCTTGTGATTCTCGCCTCCGTCAGGTTGGTCTTTGTCTCCGATGTTTCGCTTAGCGAAAGTTTTGATGCCAACGATTCCGTGCTCTTTGTGTCTGTGTGCACCGCCTCGACGACATCCACCTTTGTTGTGACTTCTGTAGTCGATGCAAAATTAGTTGAATTTAATTCCACGCTATTAACACCTGCAGTGTTTATACAACCCAGTATCAGTGCAACTGAAAATACTTCTTTAAATCGTTGGAAAGCCATTTTTTCTTTTGTTTTATTGTTTTTATTTTTCCTTTTTCGCTTTTCACTATTTTTTTTCTTCTTTCTCGTCGAATTCGATTCGTTCGGTGTGATATAGTACACACCGCGGTTTAGAAGAGAGAAATAACCTTAGTCGCCGATGCTTACTGTGTGTGTGTATATCTCTCGTTACCGTTTTGTCACACTATAACTTTAGCACTTTTCCGCGTTAGCGAATTGTTTATTTGTCTTTTGTGTGTGTATGTGTGTGGTAGAGATAGAAAAGGTTCTGCTTCGGTTTTCCTAGCTGTTTTCTCGGTTTCAAGTGTTTTGTTTACGGCTTGATTTTGAATTGCGTTTGTTTGACTTTGTTTTTGTCTCTTACTCACTTTGTCCCATTGCTGTTCTCTTTTCTTCAATTAAATTTTTTTTTCTCTCTCTCCCGTTCCCTTCTTTTCACAAGAGAGATGGCATGAAAAACATCTTCTTTATCACTACAGCTGCAGGCTCTTGGAAAGGATGTCGAAAGCACAATGGAGAGGGATCGTGCGGTGAAGCAAGATGAAAATGCATTTATTCCAAACAAAATGGATTTCAAAGAAAAACTGCGACACAAACACAAATACACACACTCACAGAGAGAGAGAAAGAGCGTGAAGAAGAGCGAATGATGTAAGGTCGACTTCACTAATCACGACCGGATTTCTTTGTCTTTTGCAATTCTCGTCTCACTCTCTCTGTGTCGACTTTCTGCCGCTTCTTTTTTTATTCCGTTTTCTTTGAGTCTATTTGATTCATTCATCCGTTTATCATTTTCCGTACGGTTGCCTGAGCATTTGTACCCGCGCCGTGTAACTTTTTACCAGATTACAAACGCTGAAGATGGCAAGTGGTTATAAGTGTTATTGTCTCGAAGTCTGTGTGTACACATGCAAAAGAAACCTGATGGATTTACGTTTTTCACAACTCCGTAGCGTAGGAAAAGAAATGACTGTTGTTGTTGTTGTTGTTCTGGTAGTTCGGTGTGTGCTGGCGCACTGTAGATGAAAACAGATGTCGGGCTATTCGTAGAGACAATGCGTTTTGTCGAGCTTGTAATCCAAACGGACGACAATGGATGGAATTGTCTGCAAAGAAAGAAGAAGAAAAATTTGAGGGTGTGAGCTAGAAAAACAAAACACATACACACAGTACACACGTATACGTAAATAATAAAGAGATAAAAACAAACACACAAAATGAATGGCACTCGCTGGCAACGATGGCAACGACTTTTGAACATGGATACAACAACAAAAACAACTCTCATTTCTTTCTCTCTATTTAGTTAATTCATTCGACAACAAAACGAAGCAATAAATGCTCATTTTTCTCTCTTGACAATATATTTGCTCAATTTACTGCACAAACAAACCCACGTATAATGATACATTTTGCACAGTGCATTGTGCTCATCTGATGATGCAGCTACCGACCTCTTCGGTTGAAACAGCTTGTGCACGAGCGTTTGCCATTTTTTTTCTTCGAAAAGTGGACAATGACCAAACTACTTAAAATTCAGTATATACAGCATATAAATTGGTATACGTTCACATATAAATCGACACATAAAAAGTCACAGACGTATAATATGTGTGTGTGTGTGTGTGTGTGTGTGTGATTTGAAATGGTGTTTTGGATCTCGTTAGAGCCATTCCATTGAATTCACTTCGTTTCTAATTAAGAAAGTTGATATATAATTTGACGACGGAAGCGTTTGAACATCATTTCAATTAATTTTATTGCCATATCCAAACGCTTAACGCCGGAACCAAAGCAGATTCATCTTCTTTTTGCACATATATTCCACCAAAAACGTGCATTTCAAATGTTGATATCGTTCTAATTGGTCGATTTAATAAATTCACTGTTTACTTTTTGAATGGAATACTGAACAGAAGGCAAACAACATGTCGGGCACACAGTTTAAAAAGAAAACTTTGATCCCAAACCGTGTATATTTCATCGAGATTTTGGCTTGGTTTCGTCTGTTCGCAACACATCAAGTGATAAAGCATCTGAAAATAGCTATGTGAATCCTCAAAAATCGCATGGAAATGACGGGAAAAAGTTGAGTAATACGGTCATGAAAGTGCTGAATTTCTCGTTTGTTGTTCATCAACTCTTACCATTTTCACTAAAATATTCGTGACTTATTTTCACATTCAATTCTGGAGATATTTTGAAATGCGAAAATAATTTTAGCGTTGATATAAGCGCTGTGTGTGTGTGTCTGCGGATTTGAGAAAGTTTCTGTTGGAAAATGGCATTCACTTGTCTGAGCTTTTCAAAAGGAAGTTGAATCGCTCTCCTTCGAGAAATGTACGACGAACCGTTGATGCCGGCTTTCAGAAAATTTATCTATTGCGAAGCTTTAGATAAACTCATCAACGAAATTAAGATAAAGTCTCGTTAAAAATACCGTTTTGAATGACTGCATGTTTTGTGTTTGCCGTTTTTAATTCAAAAATCAATTTTCGGATTGTCGGGCAAATTATTCGGAAGCCTAATGTATGCGCCGCACTGAAAATTGTCCTAAAACCGTACCAAAAACAGTATATGAAACACCGAATTTGCTGCGATAAACATGGCGAAAAATTATCCAACGAATATTCCTCTACCTATATCATATCTTTCGGTTGTCGTAAAATGTGTGCGAAAACAAAGCCTCATAAAGTGTGGCACACACAGAACAGCAAATGACATACACACGTATAAAAACCGACTCCACTCGGTCTATTCGCATAACGGCAGCGCATAGCACACATAACCATATAAATTTGTTTTCGAGTCTCTTCAACGTAATCCCATCTACTTAATAATAATTAATTACTCGAAACTTTTCGTTGCTGATGTCGTCCCTTTTTTCCCATCCGTGCGAAAATGGTTGCACGAATTTCGTGTGTGTGTGTATGTGTTTGGGTTGCAGGCATGTGATGGAAGAGCAAGAGAGCAAATGAGTGCCACTATATCGTTCGCATCTATCTATATCATGCATGGATTTTTGGATATGGTGCGTTTATTAAAATCACGCGATGTGAGAAGCGCATGTATGTCAATAAGTTTATTTTTGAGGGGGTCGTTGGGATTGACGTAAACACAAGCGACTCATGCTCGCAATTTTCATCCCATACTCATGCTCTGCTCTGCTCGGCGCTCGGCGAACTACCTTTGTATGTTATCCATAATCAACGTTCATGAATATTTGCACGTCTCCCGACACATTGGTCGCAGCTCAAATCGGTTGTACGGTCGACGGTTTTGCACTGGATTTTTGCCGATGTTTATTAATGCCAAACATACCTCACAGTCTCAGTTGCGGCTGTTTGTTACCAATGTGCACACACGCACCGACGATTCTTTGAAGATTCCCATCGACGATAGCGTTTACAAATAGTCAAAAACTAATGGAAATCATCTAGAATGTATCGAACAATATACATCACGTTTGAAATATATGTGAGCTTGCCTGCGATCTCTCTCACGGTCTCTCTGTCCCTCGAAATGTGATTGGTTTGATTAGTTGATACTTATGGCGAATATAACACACGGCCGTGAGACTCATATGCAAAAGGTAATTTCCAGTGGATGGTTTTCTGGGCCATTTCGGTTTGATGTTGTTATGCGATGAGATGATTCTATAATTGTCTTTTTCAAACATTTTCATTTTGATGGCTTTTGTCAATTTGCTAAATGTGGAAATCTTCATCGTATTGGCACACACACACAGAGAGAGAGAGAGAAAGAGACGTTGTTGCGAGTTGGTCGATTTTCGGGCACGTACAGAACACATTCCAACAGTCTCCAAAGTATTGCACCGAAATATGTATGCTATGCTCTAGCAGCCACGAAAAACATTCCCGAGATTCTTAGCGTCGTTTTGAAATTAAAACGTAATTTTCGGTGTGTCTGTCTGCATGCAAGAGGGTCAAATGGATAAACGTTGTTCCCGTCGGCCGTTGCATCGAAACAATGTTGAATATTCCAAATATAATATCTGAATATTAAATATAATAATTGTAATTCACATGAAATTGATTATTATTCAACGAGCGATCTCATTTGGAAGAAAATACAAGCAATTCTCGTTTTCCCCCAACGAATGGTCATTGTCAAAGATATCAATGTGAACATAAACATTTATATGGAAAACATTATTATTCCATTTCTAAAATGATCGACAATTTCCGCTCAATTGTGTATATAAAGAGACTTTATTTTGCTTGATTCAATTGTTAGATTGTATCCAATATGTTTGGCCATAATTCGAATTTGTTGTTTCTCAAGGGATGACATTGTCAATTTAAAAACGACAAGATCATGAATAAAATATTCAAAAGCCACAATAGTTTCATTGATTGACCACAACAGCAGACGAGAATAATTCATGTCAACATTTTGGCCCCGAACAAAACTCAATCAATTAGGAATTTCTTTGAACCTGGATTAAATGCGGAAATTTAATATCAAATGCATTTGATTCAGCTTGAAAATGGTTTAATGATGCAACCGAAAGATTTTTATTGGAAAATTCTCATCTGAAATATTGGATATTCATTGGGTTTGTTGATAGTTCTTTGATTGTTGAATTGCGTTGCTAGTTTTGAATTTCACTGCGTTCCACATGTACATATGCACCGTTAACCAAAATTCGACAACATCGACGTCGACGACGACGACGATGGCAACAAACTTTGACAAACATTGGTGATAGCTGTAAGCAAGCATGCACTTAACACTGCACCAATGCAATGTACAATGTGATTTTCATTCTTTTATTGCAGATATTTCCCAAGCAAGATATCGATTCAGTTTGCTTCAACTTAAGAATCGAGCTGGTGTGCTGTGATAAAACGGATAAAATTCGATGTGTAATTTACACTTGGTGTACAGCGTTAGCTACTGCAACCGCTTGTCAACAATAAACCGTTGTACTAAGTCATTGGATTTTATGGGAACCGGGAGAAGAAAAAAGGCAGTGAGTAAAGAACAAGAGAGCTAGAGCCATAGCAAGAAGCAGTGGAGGATAAAACTTTATTGCTGGCAATGAAGGGAGCACAGTTTTGCGTATCTTGTGTGTGTGTGTGTGTGTATTACATAAATTTCAGGCACTTTGTTCGCAATTGGATAAGATAAAGCGCGTAGGGAGAAAGCGCGAGCACAACGAGCAAGTAGTACATAAATTGGCAGCAATTCGAACCATGAGTTCATACACATTTTAGTTTTACGACCGCATATATAAATCTCAGCACTTGGAATGTGTGTCGCTGTGTATGTGTATGTGGCTGTTTGGTATCGTCTCATCAAGATAACAGCGCGTGAGAGAACGAGCGAGCAAGTGAGCAAAATGTACAATGCTAACGCTTTGATTGCTGTAAAACGTTAGAAAACATTCGTCTTCCTTACGAACACGTTATGTCGTTTGAAATTACAAAACGGAATTAAAAATGCACATGCTGCAAAGAAAGAATGCAATCAATTCTCTAATGTTGGTAAACACCATCGAAGAATATCAGGTGCAGTACTCTGCACTCTACTTCTCTGTGGCGCGCACACACACACACACACACTGCCAAATTGATCGAAGTGTAATTCCATTAAAATGCATCTTGGTGTGTATTTGAATGTATCGAGCTATCAAACTTATTGGTAGATCAATTTAGCCCATTCAATTTTATGTCATATTTGCCTTCGACTGAATTAACATAAAACGTAGATTGGCATGGCACAAGAGAGAGAGAGAGAGAGAGAGAGAGAAAGAGGGAGAGAGGGAGTTGGAGCTTCTAATGAAAACACTTGTTTCTGCCGTGTCGTTGGCATTTATCTATATCGCATTGAATTTCCATATCGATTCGAAGCTTTAAATCGAAGTGTGTAGAGTTACATCAATAATGCATGAATGCGTATGCTTTATCATCACCATGTGTGGTGTGTTCGTTCAGTATTAAACGTACCCCAAAAACTCACTCTTCTGCACAAAGCTCTATCTCTCACACTTTCATTCTCTCTCCCTGTGTGTGTGTCTCATTTTACCATCGAACGCAATTCACTCCAACATCGAATCGCTCCAATCATGATTCTTGTTTTT